TAATGAACTTGTTTTCTTTTCTAGTTTGATGTAACGTAAAATCTCTCCACGCAGTAGCTTCCCATACAGGAAAAGAAGCCATAAAAATAGTTATTAACCAAAGAGATTTCTAACAATAAAATTTTGCGCCGTTAATAGTACACTTTCCCTTAAAATAGAACAATTTTATTTGCTGATCCTATCAAATCAATTTCCAAACAGAGTCCTACGAATTTCTTAAAAAAGACATTTCAAATTTTAGTTAGTGGATCAGTCAAGGGAATTCTTTCCCATCATCGGAAACTGTAATAAAAAAAGGATGGAACTTTGAACGGATACAGACGCTCAGGAAGAAAACCGGTAGTTTCCCAGTTTTAGACATTTACTTTAGCACCAAATTAGGAACACTCAATCGTATATAAGAGGGAAAAAAACATTTCTCGACATCAAAATCAATTTCAGAGAAGAAAAGAAACAAGTTGTGAACACTCTTCACAGAAGCCACAAGAAATACTAAGAAATTGATGGAGTTTTACAAGGTAAAACAATGTATCATGGTTATCGTAAAACGTGTTTCTAGGAATTCCTTCATTCATTCAATTTTATTCCTCAGTTAGGTATTTTTGATATGGTTTACCGGGAAACACGGCGGACTTTTCTGAATTTTCTGGTTAAATAAATTAGAAATCTTTTTTAAAAGAATAAAAAACAAGGTTTTTTTAAGATCTCTTTTAGGTTGCAGTTTAACCATGAATATCATTACAATATTTGTAACTTAGAGCGCAAAATTACAAAATACTGATTGCCTGAGACAAAGGGCATTATTCCTTAACTTTGTCAATTGCCCTGGGAAATTGCAAAAATTTAGAAATCATTATGATTTCACTGATGGCGTGAAATATTAATCCTTAATCTTACTCGGCCCCATGCAATAAGCTATAAATATGGTTGAAAATAAATTGACAATGGATCCTGTATTATAGGTTCTCGTCGTTTTCCTCGCAATTTATCTTCACTATGGAAATTGCCGGGCAGCTGCTTTCACCAAAATCATGCGTGGAATCCAAAATGGCGCAGTCCCGTCCACGCAGGATGCTGCAGCATGGAGACAAAAGAGGTCCCCTGGTGATGAGCCTAGTTGCTACACTGGTACACATGCGTCAATCACTTTGCCAAGCAACAACACGGTATCTGTTCCTATTTGTAAGACAGTAACGTCTTACAAAACTGCATGTTTCAGTTCGATGGCAAACAACAACAACCAGAGGAAATGTGTTCCGTCCCATATGATCACGATGGAAGGAGTGGCGTTTAACACAGCCTGTTCATGTGCACCATAGAATACTTAGAGCCAGAAACTTAATGTACGATGTGTCTGGAACACAAGGGCTATAGTTATATCAACCAGCAACTGCCAATTAGAACTGTTGCAGTATTTATCATTGTATCATGCATGTTTCTTATTTATATGTATGTATTTATGACCCTATAACTGGATTAATAAAGTAAAGTTTATTTGACTGAAAACTCTGTAGAACATAGATTTTCGTGATTTTGCTCTTTTCGCCGCCTTTGTGACTGTGGAGTCTAGTTTTTGAGATAGATCTCCTCTGTTGTATTTGGTGTGCTTACATCGTTGCGTAATGCTGGAAAAAAAGAGGGTAAATTCTAGGCCTGGTGGCGTTTTAGTGAAAGATGATGTTATTCAGTGAATGACACAGCCATTTTGTTTATTGTGTTTTCTCGACTTACTTGTCAGTAGATTAAAATTCAACTTTTTGCACTCAATTGCAACTCTCTGCACTATTTGCGATTGATGTTCTCGGCCGATGAGCATGCTGAAATGTTTGCATGTAAGGTATTAATATAAGTATACACATGATTTCGAGTGCAATTTGCGATAAATCATCACGAGTAAACTTTTCATAGGCCAATCAAAATGCACGAGCCCATAAGGCATGTGCAATTTGTAGTCTTTTACACGAAAGCTACTCGCTCGTAATCTTCACTGTCTATCGTACCAACTGTTGCGTATTACTCCTCGAGAACTTCATGTTATTCTGGACCTCCCTGTCCAATTTGAACGGCAGACTTAGAGCTATTTGTTTGCCCTTTGTTGGGTTTTTTTTTGTTTTTAGCATTCTTTCTCAAACTCAGGGTTAAAACGTTCTTACTTACTCCCCATCTGTCCGCCATTTTGTTTTGTTGTGCTTTTCTGACTTACCTGTCAATCAATTTAATTTCAACTCTCTACACTCAATTTCAACTTTCTGCACTGTTTTGGATTAAATGACGTATTCTCAGCCAATACGCATGCTGAAATTTTTTCATGTTTATTCACGAATCGTACCATTTCATTCTCCAAATTGCATCTTTTATCCAACCAATGAGACAGCTTCACTAAGTCACAACAACCAATCAGACTTCAACGCTTGTTTTAAGAAATCTATCAAATTGCAGGAAAAGGAAAGACAGCTTTATCAACTTTTTACAAACCAGCTGAATACTGGATAAATAAAATATTTTGCAGATGAAAAAAACTGTATTTGAATGACTGAATTTTGCGATTTCAAAAGGCAATTTAGGTCTGATTTCAAATCACACCAATAATTTCAGACCTAAGAATACATATGCGTAAATTTCAGCATGCTCAAGATTTACTCGTGCTGATTTATCCCAAATTGCACTCGAAATCATGTGATTACCTCTACTCATTGACTGCATGATACCCGCCTTATTGCCTAAAGACATATTCAGAATAAGAAGTTTTGAAAGGTCATTTCCAGTCAAGTATGTACAACAA